GGTTTTATCAAAGGTGAGATACATAAAAGAACTTCGATTTACACATCGGTGCAAACATCAAGTTTGGAATACTAAAGAGGTATGTATTTCTATCACTTTTTACAAATAATTTACTGAAATATGTTTTTGCATCTGACCTTCTTTGATGAGAATAGTTATAGTTATATTTATATTTTAATATCTGTTAATTTTTTGCAAACAATCGAATAAAACTTGTGGATTACCTTATATTTTTTGGGTGTTATTACCAAAAATCTAAAAGAATAGTAAAAAATACATAATTAATATGTTACTTTTCAACATATAAACAATTTGTTGCAAAGATTGTTAAACTTGTGTTTTATTAATGTATGCATGTCAACTCAGTGAAGGCAAATATAACAACAGGACCACTGCGATGTGTGTATAAGCACAGAAGAAAGGTAAATACAATTGCCAAATGACAGATTACTTTATATTTCTCATCGACATTTATAATTGTATTGCGTATTAATTTTACAAACACTAATCAATTGTTTCTTTTATTGGTACATGTTAATGGAGTTCCGTCTATCAAAGTGACATGACTCTGCTGATTCGAATATGCCACATAACTTTGAAAGTAAAGGAAACAGAAGGTAATAATCTATCTATTAAAAATTTCCAACCAATAATTGTATTCAAAAAATCAAAGATATGAGTATTACCTGGATTATGGTTCAAAGTTAGTGGTGTAACATTAAGTACTTTTGCTCGATCTGTGTATCCACATCTCTGACTGTCTGCATTTGCATTTGTTTGGCCTCGAACTGTTGCATACTTGTTTCTATGATCTGTGTATCTATATCTTTGGTTCTCTTTATTTTCATCTGTTTGGCCTCGAATTGTTGAATCTCTGTTGCAAGGTCTTATGTCTGCATCTTGTTTTGTCATCTTCTACGGCTGTTAAAAAATTAAAAGTTTATTGCTTATAATTCGAAATTATTTGAAGAAGTAGAAAGATTTATAAACATAAGAAACATAACCCCTATTCTGCGGTGTTGTTGAAAGAATAATGACCTAGATTGATGGATGATATATGTATATAGATATCAATAGTGTTTTGTTTAAGATATATAGAATAAAAGATCCTGTAAGATATTAAAATCTGTTTTCTTTATCGGATTATAATGGATAGATATGAGAAAGAAATCAGATATTAAGGTAACTGAATCACGAATAAAATATGTATATTTTTTTTGCTAAATTTTCACGTGTGAAAGAAATTTATCTCCTTATACAAATCAAACGAAAGACTGGTTTACATTTAGTATTTTTTTATTTGTTCGATCACTATAATTACGTGATGGAATTGAAAAATATCTTACGTATGTATACTTTTTTTTATTTATAATTTATAATCAAAATATCAATATTATGCTTATACTGTTTTCTGATTATACATGTGCATAAACTATTATCTGATTATGAATAAACTATTTTCTTTTGATTGCTTAGGGAACAAATTAATGTATAATTACGTGGTGGGAATGAAAACTATCTAATGTGTGTATGATTATTTTGTTCGAGTTTATAATAAGCATATGAATAAATTATTTTATGATGTATATTATGTTTATCTTGATATCTGATTATAGGAATCAAAATGTTTTCTCATTTATAGGAATCAAAATTCGCTGATTATTACAATTGTAATATGTAATCTGGTTATGTATATCTATATATAATAATCAAATGCAGATAGTACAAACTGATTATGTATCGATTACAAATTATATATAAACATAATATTAAACATATTCTTATACCATATTGCTATATAAATCATTAGTCATTCTGGTTTTGAGAAAGTGATAATAGGAATCTATATTGGATGATCTGTAATGAAAAAATGAAACAAAGTTCTGCAATGATAAAAAAGCTAAACATTTCTCGCAGTTCTACTGCTGCTTATTTCAAGCGAATCACGAAAATATATCAAAAAATATACGAAAAAAACAAACATATATATATTTATACGAAAATATATTTGATAGTTCGAAAAAACAAATAGCAAAAATAAATGGTATACGAAAATTAAAGAAAAATAATTATGGGCTCACAGTTTTATCACCCCAGTCCTGGAAGAACATTCGTACAATACGGACTTTGAGCATTGGTTTAATAGACCTATTGACTTGTTTGATCAAACCAAATCCTTGATTTATTGTTATCGATGAAATTGATCTGTTTTTCTGTTTTGCAGGAGAGAGCAAGACGTTGATTAGTATTTGGAGATTGGGATATTTAGACGTTGGTTAGTATTGAATTATATATAGAGATAATATGGAGAGAGCAAGTAAATCAAATATATACGTGTTTTAATTTGTGATTAAGATTATCTGCTTTAGACGTTAATTGTCCCCAAAATAACGTATTTTAATTTGTGATGAAGATTTGTATGCTGACACATTATATCAGCCATCTTAATTTATAAATAATTAAGATTTATACTTGCATTAAATAAAATATTTATTTAACACATAAAACGCGTGATGTAACGTTTAATTTCAGAAAATTCTGATCTTATGGGATTGTCATTTAATAAATTGATTTTATATAAAAAAAAAAGTCTGAATACAAACAGAATCCGATATTGTGGGAAGGGTCATTTAATGAATTGATTTATGAGTAATTTATGAAATTTAAAAACATGATAAAAATAGCTAAACATTAATTACAGTTGACTATTCCTCATACTATATTTAGTAAATAGTATAGCTTTTAATATAAGTATAGATTATTTAATTATATTGATAATATTGAATATATATATTTTCCTGAATTTAACTATTCTTCGTTTTGATGAATTACGGTTTAACTTTGCAGCAAAGGGTGACTGGTGCAGGTATATTCGCTTTTTCGAACACGGAGCACAAGGAAAAGACGACACTAGTCTATTTCACTTCCTTTATTTATTTATTTATTTATTTATTTATATAAAAAAAGAACATTTATTAGAAAATTATCTATTTTTTTTTTTTTTCCCAAATTGAATTATTATTTTGTTTGCTTGCATGCTTTGAACGAACATCAGAAAAAGCAGTTTATATACAGCTTACTCACCGCTCTACTAACTTCCCTCACACCAATCTTCTTTCCTCTCTGCACACTTTGTTTATTAATTTTCTTCAATAAATCAAGCAACTCTCTCTCTCTATCTCTCTCTCTCTCTCTCTACAGAGCTTCATTTTTTTCCTACATTGTTAAGAGCAGTGACGGATCCAGAAATTTTATCGAGGGGGGTCCAACTAATAATAGCAAAAAAGAAATACATCAAGTGTAAAAATAGATAAATCAATACAAGTACCGTCTAAATAAACATAATACATATGTCCGAGTATTCAAGAAAATAACTTACGATAACACTGAGAGTTTCACAATATTTCTCTTCTATTTTTTCATGTTTTGAAATCGTTGCAGGATAGCCTCATTGCTAACGAAATATATGTTCTCCATGTAAGACACTAACAATCATTTAAAAGCTCGTCGCCCATTTGACTGCGTAGTGTACGTACCTTTGATGATTGTCATTGCCCAAAAAACTCATGTCACTGTAGCAGTGGCAACCGGTAAAACTAACAACTTTTATATAATCAACAACCACAACCGGTAAAATCAACATTCTGTGGCAATCTCCTATAAAATCGTTCCATGATCTAAATTGTAACATAAAAAATTAAAAAAATGTGATAAAAGACATAAAGATTAAGATGCACATGTTTTCTGATGTAAGATGTTTAACTAGTGAAACATTCAAAAGCCAAATGGAAAAATGTGATTGTTAATATTAAACAAGCTTTTACATAATGAAATGGATCAACAAAAAAAAGAATCAAAAGATATTTGGATTTTTTTTATTAGTCATTTGGTAAAATTTACTCAAGTGTCGGCCACAAATAAATTGCCTCGGTCATTGGAAAGGCCTGCCACTGTAAGTCCCTTCAAACTGAACAAGAAAATTGTGAATTTAACCATATAGTTTTCTTTTTATTTTTATCATTAATGTGAATTTACTAATATACCCCTGAATTATTTAAAAATTTCAGGGGGGCCCAGTGCCCCCCCTGGGCCGGGTACAGCTCCGTCCCTGGTTAAGAGGGCTCTTCTCATTTTCACTGTTAGTTCAAATTTGCAGTCTCTGAATATCTCCCGTCTTCAAGATACTGTTTTTGGTAAAAGGGTACTTTTCTGTTTCACAATTAAATAATGTAAGTGAGAAAAAGATGCAATCTTTGTGAACTTTTAGCTCTCAATTGCCTCCCGTGGGCTCTGACTTGTACAAAACCCCTCTTTTCTTCACAAAATAAATCATGGGGTCTCGCTAGTTTTTTGTCTACCTGCTGCTTGTTCTTGCTAATCTCTGTGCATGTAATTTACTGTGCACTTAATTTGAAGGGCTAAAATTTAGTGTCTAGCAAATGGGGCCTCGCTAAAAATCTTTACTTTTTTGTTGGTTACTCATCAGTCGTCTTTCCTCTTCAGTTTGCTTGTTCCTTTTTTTTTATTATTTTTTTTTTCTTGTCTTTGTTTTGTGCATTTTGGTTAAAAGTAGTTGATGGGCACAAAAGTTCTTCTTTAATGTAGGAAAGGTGTTTGATATGATGGATCTGAGTTGCTGTTCATGTGAACTGTTGGTATAAGATACTTTAGGTTATGAAAATTTCTGCTTAATTCGTGAGTGAGTTCTTGTTCAGCAATGGGTTCATCTCTTTAGTCGAGTCTTTTGTTCTTTGTTGTTAGGTACACACACTGTAAATCCATTCCTTTCCAAATCCATTAAAATGTAAATCTTTGTGAAATAGATAATAGTTTTGTGCCCATGAACCTATTAGACGGTCTCAAGTCTCGAGCCCCGTCGAATTTGTGTGCAAGTTTGATGTCACTTATACTCCTTATTCATCATCAAGAGTGAACCAGGAAAAAAACAAAGAAGAAAAAGAAAAAAACTCTACCTTTGTTTAGTTAGTTTTGGTATTATCATGGAGGAAACATTCGTTCCACTGCGTGGAATTAAAAATGATCTTAAAGGAAGACTTTTATGCTACAAACAGGACTGGAGTGGTGGATTACGGGCCGGTATCAGGTTCTTATCCTTTATCATGCTCTCCAATTGTAATACATATATATTACACTTTGTTTTAAATACATAGCACCATTCATATAGAGTTTTATGTTGTTCTCACTGATGACTTTACTTGGTAAATGTATTGCTATTCTGCATACCATCTTGTGCTAAGCCTTACTAGACTCTGTGTTTGTGTTTTTTGTTTTGTTTTTTGCAGGATTTTGGCTCCAACAACATACATATTCTTTGCATCAGCAATTCCCGTTATATCTTTCGGGGAGCAGCTGGAAAGAAACACCAGTAAAATCATCTTTCGGTTTTAGTTTTTAAATTTTTTTTCGCTACATCATTTTCTAATGTTGTTTGATTAATTTTTGTGCCAACTAATTTTAATTTTTGCAGATGGGACTTTAACAGCCGTCCAAACACTTGCATCAACCGCACTATGTGGTGTTATCCACTCTATCATAGGCGGGCAGCCATTACTCATACTCGGTGTGGCAGAGCCCACTGTCTTGATGTACACTTTCATGTTCAATTTCGCTAAAGAAAGGAAAGATTTGGGCCAGAAACTCTTCTTAGCTTGGACAGGATGGTAATTTGTCGTGATTTTAGAATTCGAGAAATTCTTGCTGGATATATATTGCTAATTTGCTATAGGGTATTGAAAGTTGACACCTTTTTGTGTACTAGGGTGTGTGTTTGGACAGCCCTTTTGCTTTTCTTGCTGGCTGTGTTGGGCGCGTGTTCGATTATTAATCGGTTCACTCGTCTTGCTGGTGAATTATTCGGGCTTCTAATTGCAATGCTTTTTATGCAGCAGGCCATTCGTGTGAGTATTCATTCATATATTGTTTGTTACTTTTGATCATCACACCAACATGTTTCTGTACTTAGTTACTATTCGTTCATGGCTCTTATGGTTTGAATTTTTTCCTATGTGGGGCTTTGGAGCCCATTTAAATTTCGAATAGCACAGTAAGTTTTTCTACTGTTTTCTTGTTTTAGGGGGTTGTGGAGGAGTTTGTAACTCCTAAGAGAGGAAATGCAAAAGATGCGGCATTTTCGCCTTCTTGGCGCTTTGGAAATGGGATGTTTGCATTAGTACTATCCTTTGGACTTTTACTTACTGCATTAAGGAGTCGAAAAGCTAGGTCTTGGCGTTATGGAGCAGGTGCACAAAAAACTGCACAATCATTTTTTTTTTTTCAACTAGAAATCAATGCCGAATTAAATTATCGAAATAAGAAAAAAGAAGCAGAATATTCTTGAAATTGGAAATTTGTTTGTCCCAAGTTGTTATATCATCATTTTTAAATTGGCCCTTATTCTCACAACTTTTAATTTACACATCCTTTGTAAAGGATGGCTTCGAGGATTTGTAGCGGATTATGGTGTGCCTCTAATGGTGCTCGTGTGGACTGCGATTTCATATATACCGGTTAATGATGTCCCGCGTGGAATTCCGAGACGGCTGTTTAGCCCAAACCCATGGTCTGCTGGTGCATATTCGAATTGGACAGTCATTAAGGTTCTTTTGCATCTTTTTTTACCTTAACTCTTCTTGAAATGTACTGATTTCTTGTATCTTTGTTCTTGAAATGATTATAGTGTCTGTTTGCAGCAAATTCTTCTTATTATTATTAATGTATTTATTTAAACACGTTTAAGCATTTGTATCGACAGGATATGGTGAATGTGCCCCCACTTTATATCGTTGGGGCATTTATTCCGGCCACGATGATTGCTGTGCTTTACTATTTCGATCATAGTGTTGCATCTCAACTGGCCCAGCAACAGGAGTTCAATCTAAAAAAACCCGCGTCTTATCATTATGATCTTCTTCTCTTAGGCTTTCTGGTAAGTTTAATATTTCCATTTTTTTCTTTAATTTCGTGACTACTTATGTTATTTCAAAATAATAGTAAAATTCATGGTATTCACGTTACTATTTCATGCTCCTCTCCAGGTCATAATATGTGGTCTTATCGGCATACCTCCTTCCAATGGAGTTATTCCTCAATCACCGATGCACACAAAAAGTTTGGCAACTTTAAAGCATCAGGTAAAATTTTTCAAGAAGAAAGTCTTAAATAATTTTTTTTAAGCTTGCAATCTTAAGGCAAATCTCATTTCTATATCGCGTTTTCTAATATGATGCCCAGTTGTACTGATTTATTTATAGTTTTATCCTTTTATATTTCGGTTTATTAGACATTTTTTAATATCAGAATTTTCAAATTTGTTTCATTTATTTGTTTTTTCTTTTTAATTGTGAAATAGCTTTTGAGGAATAAGCTTGTATCAACTGCTCGAGCTAGCATCCGGAAAAATGCCAGTTTATCTCAGTTGTATAGAAGCATGCAAAACGCATATTCTGAAATGCAGACTCCTCTCGTTTATCAAGCTCCATCTTCTCTGGTAATGCTCGACTCGAGACTAATTTTTTGTTCCAATTTTTTGTTCATAATTTTATCACATTTTCAAGATTCTTTCGTGTATTGATTTATTACAGAGGCTAAGGGTGCGTTTGTTAATAAATTCATCCAATTCATACTCATAATCAAAATATGACTCGACTTTAACCCAACTCTACCATCTTCAATATTACTAGTAGATATCCTATGCACATGCACAGATGTACATAAATTATTAATAAGTAATATATAAGAATTTGATATAAAAATTCTAGATAATGAACATATTATATTTTCAAAAATTTGATCATTAGGAAAAATAAATTAACGATTTTATTATTATAAACAATTTATTATCATTAGATAATAACATTTTGATTATTATTATTGTTGTTGTTATTATTATTATTAATAAAAAACAATTATTTATAAACTTCTAAAGTTGTTTGACTATGCTATTAAAACAATTTACTATCTGTTTTTAAAGAATTTTTTTTCATGAAATACAAAAGACAAAGATAATACTGATGTTAATATAAATAACTTGAAACAATTGTTTATAATTATCTAATTTATATTATTGTGAATTATTATTAGTTGGTATTAGCAATAACTATTATATAATATAAGAGAAAAATACATGATTACACTTAATAGGATGTGTTAATGTGAGAAGT